TCGGCTGGCCCGCTCGCTGCCAGCCAAATCCACCAAGGAGATCTTACTGGTGCGCTCGGTCGACAGGCCGGACACGGCGCACTGACGAAGCTGGGTGAACTCCACCGAGAAGATGGCATGCGACCGACTGCTCGTGGCATTCATCAGCGTCGAGGCCACGGTGCGTGTCTTGTTGCCCATCTCCATGATCCGGTAGAACTCCTCGGGAGAGGAGACCACAAACCTGAGCAACACATGGGAGAAGGGCGAGGGAGGGGGGGGGGCGAGAGAGAGAGAGAGAGAGAGAGCGAAGCATCAGCATATGCGCCTGAAGCGTGTCCAGATGATCGCGCGTGGAGCAGGGCCGGAGGCGGAGGAAAACGCACTTGGTAAGTCCCTGGACATACGGCCCGAGGCTCGGGTGCTCGCGGACTTTCAGCTTCAGGAATACCATCGAGGATACCAGCCACCGGCAGGTGACCGGGGGTGGAGACAGGGTGAGCACATGGACGAGGGAGGAGGAGGCGAGGGGCGAGAATGGCGGGAGGGAGTGAAGGGCTCCGGAGATCGACAGACGCGCACATTATGCCCGGCCTGGGTGGGGTTCAAGAGATCCTTCACGTTTTCGTTGTAGATCTCAATGTAGCTGACCTCGATCTTGTAGTTGACCGTCTCGGTGGAGGCCGGATCGACAGCTGGCAGGAAGGGCAGAGAGCTGGTGCCGGACATGATGGCGAACAGGGCTTCGCAGATGCGTGGCACGATGCCGGGCTCGCTGTCGGTGCCCATCATGCTGTAACTCTTGCCGGAGCCCGTTTGACCATAGGCAAAGATGCAGGCATTGTAACCTTCCATAGCTGTACAAGGACACATGGAGGCATATGGGCGTGTGCGTGCGTGTGCATATGTGTGTGTGTGTGTGAGAGAGAGAGAGAGAGTGGGGGGGAGGGGGAGGGGGAGTGCGTCACATTTAACCGGGAGAATGGAAGGCGAACTGCACATCGGGACAGGAGTGAGCGCACCATTTCGCAAAACTTCATGGCCGAGATCCTCGAAAAGTTTCTCCTGTCCGGCGAATTCGCCGCCATTGCTGGCGTCCGTCCCGCTGGGGCCACTCCAATAGGCATGGTCGAAGGTGAATTTGCGCTCCGGGGCACCACCGCCCTTGCCGGGGGGATTTCGGATGGCGATCTGCTGGCCACTGACCGAGATCACTGGCTCGGCATGGGCCTGGCGTTCTCTGTGTGACGGAAGGTGAGTGCGTGTGAGTGTGCATCTGGGCGTACGATGAAATAGGGCAGGGAGGGAAGAGACGGACCGTTCGTTGAACGGCCGGCACCGGACGGCAACCCGGATGGAGGACATCGGAAGTGGCCGGCCGGCCGTGCGCCAAGGGGGCGAGGGAGAAAAGTCGGAGGGAGAGGGAAGAAGGGAGGCGAGGAGGGGTGTGGGAGGAAAGACACAAAGAGAGCGTGCGCGAGCGACAGGGAGGAAGTGAGGGAAGGAGGGGACGGGGCGGGCTACCAGGCGCCCAGGTTGGGCGTCATACGACTGATCCCCGAAAAAGGCACCGTCCCCCCGGGGAGAGGAGGGCGCGAAAGGGGACCACAAGGAGCGAGAGGGATCGCTTGCGGGAAGAACACCACGGAAGGTGCGAAGCCGGTGCGCCTTTCTCCCCCCCGCCCGCCCGCCCGCCCGCCCGCCCCCCCCCCCCTGGGCCTCAGGATTCCAGTTCGATTGCCCCTGCGTGCCCTTCCTGTCTGTTCCGAGTTTCTGTCCCCCTGTCCCGTGGTCTCCTGCGCTCTTTCTCCTTGGTTCCCGTCTCGGGTGGATTTCTTTCCCGGGCCCCACCGTCCCCCGTTCCTGGTCCCCGCACGATCCTCC